TTCAACACTTGAAGATCAGTTTTTGTGATTTCCATATTCTCTGTTTCTTCCTTTATATATTGTCTCTGTTGTTCCAACATGTCCCTTTGTTTCAGGATGTCCGACCTGATCAAATCAAAGTCCAGTTTCTCTTTGTTCATCACCTCACTCTCTCTATCCAGGTCCTCTCTTTCTTTCTTCAACTCTGCCTTCAGTTCCAGAAGATTTGTCCTTTCCAACAAGGCCTCTTGTTTCAGTTGATTTCCCATTTCCTGTCTTTGAGTGACACTTTCTGACAACAGGATCTTCAACCTTTCTCTTTCCCTCTGTAACGTCTCAGTGTAACGTGACATATGTTCTTTCTGTTTATCCAGAACGTCATGCTTTTGCTCCAAAACACTCAACAGTTTAAATGTGTCTTCATTGTTTTCTTCAAGTCTGATCTTTTTGTTTTGAATTTCTTCACTCATCCTTTCATTCAGCTGGTGATGTTTTTCCCTCAGAATTTCCATTGATTTCATCGTATTCAATATTCGATCTTCTCTTGTTTTCAGGTCCGACATTCCTCTTTCCATTCTGTCCTTTTCATTGTTGAGCATTGTTCTCTGTGTGTCAGTAGTACTCTGCATCTGATTGAGTATCTCTCTCTCTGAACTGATGGTGTTCGTGGCTGTTTCAACCTCTTCCCTCTTCTTGTTGAGATCCTTCCTCAAAAGATCCAGTTCTTCTCTTTCTTCCAGCAGACTGGTCTTTCTTGTTTCCAGTTCTTGTGTTTGTCTGCTGAACTGGTCCTCCTTGAGTTTTTGTTCTTCTTGTTTTAAAACAATCATGGTCATGATATTCTCAAGTTTGTCTTTTTCTGTGTGAAGATGAAGGGTCAGATCTTTAATGTTGGCTTTCTCTTTGTTTATCTCATCAAACTGAATGTCTGCATGTCCTTTCAACACTTGAAGATCAGTCTTTGTGATTTCCAATTTCTCTGTTTCTTCTTTTATATCTTGTCTCTGTTGTTCCAACATGTCCCTTTGTTTCAGGATGTCCGACCTGATCAAATCAAAGTCCAGTTTCTCTTTGTTCATCACCTCACTCTCTCTATCCAGATCCCCTCTTTCTTTCTTCAGCTCTTCATCTAGTTTTTTTAAATCTAAATGTTTTTCAACAAGGTTTAGATTTCTCTGCTTTGTCACATTTTCATCCTCCATATTGGAATTTCTTATCAGTCCTTGTTTTTTTAGAAGCTCGATTTCATTTGCACCATTTTTCCCCTCTTCATCCAATTCCGGTTCTTTTTTCTTTTCCGGCTCAATTTGTTCCTTTGTAAGATTTGAAGTTTTTGGGATTTTTTGTCTTTTCTGATTTACAATATCATTATTCGGCCTTTTCATTTCTCTCTTTTTTTTTTTCTCTCTCTGGCCTTCATCTTTGACCATCAACGCCTCAGTTCTGAGATCCTCTTCCCCTAGCTCTTCCTTTCTCTCTTTTATGATACTCACCTCGTCCTGCTCCAAATGTATTTGCTTTTTTTTCATGCTCTTTAAAGCACATATTCTTTTCTTCTGTCTTTTAATCCCAATCTTGATATTTCCCACGACTTCTCTTCTCTGGGTTATTTTTTTTTCCGCCTGGTCCACTATGTGCTGTTTTTCATCTGTCACTTCTCCATTCCATTCTTCAATCAGTTTTTTCTCAATACTTTTCTGAATTAGCTCCCAGTGCTTTTTAATTGAGTTTTGAACTTGTGTGGCTGTGGCCATGCTGGAGACTACAGCTCCACCTTTGCTCTGTTCACTTTCTCTCTGCAGCTTCAGTTTCATGATCTCCAGTTCATCCCTCTTTCTGTGTATTCTCTCCAATCGCTGGTCAAGCTCTTTTCTCCTCTTCTGTGCCTCCCTCTTGAAAGCATGTTGTTCTTCTTCGAGCTGAGCCAACATATTTTTTACATCCTGCTCTTTTTTAATGCTTCGTCGAATCATCTGTTGATTTTCAGTTATTTTGTTCTCCAACTCACACTTCAACACTTCAACCTCCCTTTTTTCTCTCTTAACTTCTTCTAGTCGGATTTCAAGCCCCTGTTTTTGTTTTTGGATACTGCCTTTCATGCTGACCATTTCATCCATCTCTGCTTTTCCTTTATCAGTAGTTTGTTCTTTTACTCTCTGCTTTTCCTCAGCCATCTCATCCTTCTGCCGTTGCAGTTTTATCCAGAATATTTCTGACTCATACCTCTCTCTCTTGATTTCTTCCAGTCTTTGGTCTAATTCTCTTCTCATCTTTTGGGTCTCTCTTTTCAATTCTCCCTTTTCTCTTTGTATGACATTCCACTTTTTCTGCATATTTCTTCTAAATATCTGTTCACTTTCTTTTTTCTTTATTTCCAGCTCTGACCTCAGAATCTCCATTTCTCTTATTTCTCTTTTGGTAGTTTTTGTACTGTCAACAAGCTCCTGTTTCTCTCTTTTTATACTTTCCCTTAAACAGTTAATTTCATATGCTTCTGCCTCAGCTTGCTCTCTTTCTATTATCAAACTCTCCCTCTCAACTTGTATCCGTTGTTTGAGGATCTCAATCTCTTTACTTTCAGTCTCTAGTTTCACTTGTTCAGTTACAGACTCTTTCAGTTTTTCAATTTCACAGTTTTTCTGATCCAGTGTCAGTTTCATTTCTTTCTCACGTTTCTCCTGTTCTGATATAAGTCTAGTGATGTCCTTTTCCATTTCCTCAATATCCTTACCCATTATTTTCTCTGGCATGTTGTCCATGTGTGTGTCTGTTTCCATTCTGTCATGTTTTTTTTTGTCTCCCTTCAGTGTCTTAATACTTTCCAAGGGAAATTCTCTGTCCTCTTTCTGCCTGAGTTCAGTGTTGAATTTCAAAAGGTCAGTTATTTCTTTGGATATGAAAGCATGTCTTTTTTCCAGTTCTTTTTTGGTAGTCTCAATTTTACAGCTCAGGTCTTCCAACTTTTTCAGTTTTTCTTGGGTCTCCTTCCTAACAATATCTATGTCCTGACTTTTCTGTCTAGTCCTAGCTGCAACTTTCTCTATGGTGCCCTTAACTTTAGCTAGTTTTCTTCTAACTTCAGGTTGTTTCTGTGTTTTTATTTTTAAAACTTCAAATTCATCTCTGTCTCTCATCATTTTCTCTAACCTATGATCCAGTTTTCTTTCCTGTATCTTTGCTGTAGTTTTCCTCGATTTCATGTTGCTGATTTCTTCTTTCAGATGCATTTCTCTTTGCCTAATTTCTATTTGTACCATTTTTAAAAGCTCTTGGAATCTTTTCAGTTCTTGTAGCAATCCTTCAATTGTGCCATCTTTATCCTCATGATCTTGGTTGATATGGCTTTCTTCAGCTTGGTTGTCAAGATCTAGGTTAACTAGTCTAATGTTTTTTTGTGTTTTATAAATCTCTGCCCTAAGTCTTTGAAAATCATCACTTCCTGTGTCCTTTGTAGCAAACCCTTCCTTTATCTTATCATTATTGGTCTGCATATATTGTGTTGAATCCTGACTTTGTTTTTGCTCTTCTTTTTCCACCCCTTTGCCGTTCTCCTGTTTTTTAACTTTTACTTCAAATTTGACGATCTCATCTGTGGTGCTTTCCCTGCCTGTAATTCGTAACCAATTTTCAGTCTCTGGTTTCTGGCTCTGCAGGTCATTTATATATATAATAAGCTTTTTAATCTCTTGACTTTCTTCCTCCATGTTTTCCATAGCAAACTTTATTTGCTCCCTTATTTCCTCCTCTCTATTCTTGAGTTTGCACATCTGGTTCTTAACTTCCCTTTCGTTTCCTACACGTATCGCAAGTTTTGTCTTTTCTTCATCCATTATTGTTTTTTCTTGAAGTTCTGTCTGCATCTTTATATCCTCAATTAGATGTCGGTCTGCTAATGTTTTAGATTGTTGCAAAGATATCGTTTCTTTTGTAATTGCATCTTCTATGCCGTCTCTGTCCGATATAATTTCAAAAGTTTGATCCTTGATAGAGGCTGTGTTTTGGCCTGAAAAGACATCTTTGGTAGATTTGCTCACCTGAAATTTCATGGAAGTCATCATATCCTTTACAAAAAAGAAATAATTGTCAGTGTTTTACATAAATATTCTCATGAAATATAGTAGATCAACAAACAAAAAAATGCCTTTCCTTGAGACATTTATTCTATTCATTTACATTATGCTTGGTTGTAATAACAGTCATATTTAGAGCAAACACAGATGTGAGTGTAAAATAGATCCTTAAAATGTTTTATTTGCAATATACATCCAATAATCATCCACTGCTATGTTCTTAAAACGGGTGGGAATAGTGGATTAGATATTCCAACAAATCCTCCAACTCATACGACCAAATATGTCGTTTGTTCAAGCGCTTAATAGATCCTATAATTACGTTTTAATGTGTTCGCCCTCTAGTGCTCCCGTTGAATGCAAACGTTACAGATGGTCGTTTATTTACAAATAACCCTCTCTGTAAAATCCTAAATTGTAGGATAGTTTGGCCATTAAAACGCTTTTTGATTAGATTTCTAGCGAGAAGTGTACTTTTAGAACTTTTAGAATCCACGTCCAGTCGATTTCTAGGATCTAGCCTATAGTTTGATAGATATTACGAAGATGATTTGAGGTATGCGGCAGCCTCCATGTGAAGTTACGGGTTGAAAACAGTATTTCCGGTCTCAACGTTTTCATAATAAAACCAATGATCAAATGATTTAACAACACGTTCTCACTCCCAACCCGTCACATGCTGACGGTCGGTCAGGGCCCCTCCCCGTCACTCTATTACGTACAGGGTACCCCTTGGAAGTCAGTTTTCAACGGGCAGGGCGTCCCATTGACTTGCATAGAGATCCCTGAACGTTGGTAATAGAGGAGTTGGGATCGCGGCGAA